GGGCAGCCCCGGAGGATGGTGAGCTTGTCGGCCTCCAGCCCCAGCACCTTCACTTCTGCAGAGAAGCGCAGGCGCCCGTAAGGGTGAGGACCTGGGCCGCTGCCCCCCCTCGTTCCCCTTTCGAGGGACCTGCCACCGTGGGTACCCGGCCTGGCAGATGGCTGTGCCCGGGCCGCCTGCCTCAGCTGGAGGGCCAGCCTGGAGGGGAGGCGGTCCCGCCTCTGCTGAGCCTGTGGTCGGTCCTCCCCCAGGTGATGGGCCCGGCCTCGGGGTCCACCTGCCCCCCGGGAACCCCGCTCCTCAGGCTGTGTGTCCTCGGGGAGTCACTCAGCCCCTCTGGGCTCTGTGCCCGGCTGCAGAGTGAGAGCAGAGGGAGGCTTTGGGGGGTCAGAGTGGCCGATGCAAATGTGTGAGACCTTAGGAAGAGCTCCCCCCACTGCGGCCCGTCCAGTGAGTGCAGCCTCCGCATCTGTGAGACAGCGGGGGGCGGGGGCAGTGCCGCGTGTCACCCCCATTCCTCGGGCACGTGGCCTGGGAATCCCGGGCTGGAGGGTGCGGAGGGTGGGGGTCCCTGTGATCCGAGGACACACGGCAGCCCCCGCAGAAGTGGAGCCAGAGATGGACCTGCCTCTCAGAGGTCAAGTGCGTCCATCACAAATACACGGCCTCTAGGGAGGGTGTGGGGACCCGGAAACCCGCCGCCTCCCGGTCCCCCGCTGCCGGTTTTCAGGGGCCCCCTCTCTGCTCTGCCCACCCCAGAAGCTGCCTCCATCCGTACGTCGTCACCTTGGCGGCCGGTCTGTGGTCAGTATAATCTCTCCCCAGCTGTGCCCAGTCCACCGGCTCAGGACCCAGAGGGAGGCCCCGCTCCCATTTGGACCCGAGTTTCCTGAATTGGACTCTCTGCAGTTGGGGCCCGAAACTAGAATTAACCATCCCCCAGGAGGCGGGGAGCCCCTGGATTAGAGAGTCTTTGGGCGTCTCCGGGGAAGCCCTGAGAATACGGGGGCGAAGGGCTTTTCCTCTTCCCATGGCCAGGCAGCCCTGGCCTTGCTCTGTGGGGCCACCCCAGGCTTGAGGGTCAGACAGGCCGCCGTGGACCCCTCTCCTTCCACCCGTGTGACCATGGCCAGCTCCCCGCCTGAGGCTAAGCCGGGCAGCGGAGCATCTTGGGAAAGAGGCGCGTGGAGGTGGGACACGCGTGGAGGTGGGACCGCCCGCGCTGTGCGGGCTCAGTGGGTGGCATTGGCGGCTGCCAGAGACCAGAAGGCTCCGGTCCGTCTCACCTGGGCAGGTGTCGTCAGTCTGGGCCGCCAGGGCCTTGAAAGTCAGGAGCAGGAGCAGCTGGCCGGGCCCCAGGGCCAGGGTGGCCCCGCACAGCCCCATGGTCTCTGGTCTTCGACCTTGAGCCCAGTGAGTGGGAAGTCAGCGGAACCCTGGCTGTTTCTCAATCCCAGTGACGCCCACTTCCGAGGGACTCGGGATCCCATGACAGCAACAGGATCCCCGAGGGTGTGTCCTTCCCCCTGGGCCCCCGCCCCAGGCACCCTCTGAGCCACCAGCATCCCCCCACCTGACCCGGGCCCCCTGCTGGGACGGTCTGGCCCCAGGGCCTCGGGAGAGCCCAGCCTGAGCCCCATTCGCATCTACACCCGGGGGATCAGCGAGGGGGCTGGGGATCTGCCCTCCGGCCTCTGGTTTCCAGAATATTCCGGGTCTGAGCCGGTCGTGGGCACTCGCTGTGGAGGGGAGAAGCCGCTCTGGGCCCCGTGGTGCCGAGCGCTGCTGCCAGCCCCG